TTTACTAATTTTGTATTTTTGCCTAATGTACCACTAGAAAGCAACTTCTTTGTATTTCGAACCTTAGATTGCCATTGTAAAATATACATTATTGGCCAATTCCTTTAGTTATATTAGGCAATATCAATGACATCGATAAGATACTTTCACGCCACGGGTCTGCGCGGGTTCATTGGTCCTATTCAACCCCTACGACCCACTACGTGAAACATGTTGTTTAGCTCAATCCAACACAATAACTGATATCTATTTTTGCTACATGACTCCGTTGACTAATTATATAAACCCATCCATATTCGAACACACATTGATGCGGGACTACACTATTTTGGGGTATCAAGATCATCTCACCTTAATTAGATGACATCCTCATCATGCCATGACAGATAACTACACATTGAGTATCAAGATCAATCTCACCTTAAATAGAGAATCCTATCATTGCCATGACAATAATCCATTCATGATCAACCATCGACCAAAGTGGATCTAGAGGTTAGCTCCAATGGTTCTAGAGGTGATTCCCACTTGCCCTTACACCAATATAACACTTATAGTCTCACATAATAACCTAGTTTCATCACTTTCGAGTGGTTGATGGCTAGAGTCATTATTAGGCTTCAAGCACTGTGCACTTTGGCATGATATAGCCCTGAGACCCATTGATGTGAAAGAGTTTTTCTATTCATCGCTTAAAGTGCTACCTATTGCCTAATACCTGACTTCCTTGACTAACTACAATTCGCCATAGACAACTGATGTAGGACTAGACATTTTGGGTTATCACAGTTTTAAACGATCATTTAGCTGCTCAAACTCCAATTATAATATTGTTGTCACTTGAATATTGTTATCTATATTTCAGAAGTATTGTTTTCGCCATATAGTTTTGGGTTCTACTAAGACACTACTTCTCTCAATTCCATCTCTATACAATTACATACTAGTTCAACAAAAATCTTTCTTCTCTCTCTTTTGCCTATCTCTGCTATCACTGTTTAAGGGGAAAATGTTGTTTCATTTTCATAAATATGCATCTCTTCCTTAATCATTTATGTTGTCTTGATAAATTTTCTTCGTGTTCCAAAAACCTTCAATATAGACGAAGCCAAGTAGAATCACCTTTACTTTTCAATAGATTAACTAACGTGTTGTACGTTCTTTTAAATGACTTTGTTGATATCTTTGCTTCTACCTTTTGCTTGATACTTTTTTTTAAATATTTTTCTCTCTTTTGAAGTTTAAGAATGATAGAAGATAGAAGATAATTAACCTCAAAGGAATAAGGAATGTTTTTTTACCTTTTATCTTTCAAAAAATTGAAAACAATATTTTCTATTTCCCCCCCTGCATTTGCTTCTCTTATATACAGACAGACAGTCGATGTGAGCTAAAGCGACATTTAGCCAATTGAATATTGACACAGTGAACAAATTGAAAATTACAATCCATCATTCAACTTTTCGAGGAATTACAACCACCAATATCAATGCTTCATGCTTAAATAAGGGTTCCATGCATGCCGCTTCAAAAAAGTAATAATGTAATGAAGTAGGTTCACCGGGTACTTAGCTTCACGCTAAAAGGAAACGAAGCCACACTAGCTTATCAAGGCCAAATGCTTTTTTGAAAAAGTTGGTTTGCCAATCATTTCCAAAGAGGAACATTCCAACACAACGTTAGTGCAATCATAATATATGAGTTTCCTGTAGTAGTGCTGAGGCACAAAAGATATCTTGAGATGGCTAAGGTTTAAATTAGTAACTTTTGGAGGACTGCAATGATTTTTTTCTAACACAAGACGATGATTATTAATGGAGCCGATTGGATGCTGCCAATCAGGAAGAGAATTTTTCTAGATGGAGTCGGCCAACAAGGACTTTGTTGATCATCAAAGCAACCATTGAGAATGCTTATTGCATGGAAATCATGAAATGAGAATGTTCTTTTTTTTTACGCGATAAAAGAGATAAGAATATAGTTGAGACGTTGAAAGTCAATGCGACCTCAAAATAATCAGTTGACGAGAGTGATCAGATCTGAGCAACAACCTCCTAAAAAGGAATCTCATATCAGAATACATCTAGTACAAATAATAACCTTAAACATATTGGACATGACGCTTCTTGTCGTATCCTTGATTACGTGTGCATTACAATACTGAAGGCGAATGAATCACAATAGAAGAAATAAACATGTCTATATTAATCCAATACAAGAAGAACTGACAATTGATGCTAAAGTCTTTCTAGGCTGTGCAGGCACAAGCAGCTCAACTAGTAGCTCTCCAAGTTAAAAATCTCGGATATTGCTGGACTCCTCAAAGTCACAGACAACAAGCAGAAGCTCATGATCTCACTTTATCAAGTATCCTCCTGATTGAAGATTGCAACCTATATGATTCAAAGCCGAGACCTCTTTGCTTACTTTCAACATAGAATATCTCTTGTGATACTCTGTGAAATCCACAAATTTCCATGTTAGAAGGCGACAACTAATGATGAATCATTGGATTCCAACATGAAAT